ACACACAATAGCACACACCCCTCCCCACAGCAACAACCCGCACCCCTCCCCAACCTTGCCATGAAAATGCCCCTGCATGTATGGCATGCTATGCCATAAAAAGGTTCATGGATATAGATAAAAGGGTTTACAGATATAGATAAAAGGGTTTACATATATAGATAAAAGAGTTTACAGATATAGAGAAAAGGGTTTACATATATAGATAAAAGGGTTTACAGATATAGATAAAAGGGTTTACAGATATAGATAAAAGGGTTTACGGATATAGATAAAAGGGTTTACGGATATAGATAAAAGGGTTTACAGATATAGATAAAAGGGTTCACGGATATAGATAAAAGGGTTTACAGATATAGAGAAAAGGGTTCACGGATATAGATAAAAGGGTTTACAGATATAGATAAAAGGGTTTACAGATATAGATAAAAGGGTTTACAGATATAGATAAAAGGGTTCACGGATATAGATAAAAGGGTTTACAGATATAGATAAAAGGGTTTACAGATATAGATAAAAGGGTTCACGGATATAGATAAAAGGGTTTACAGATATAGATAAAAGGGTTTACAGATATAGATAAAAGGGTTTACAGATATAGATAAAAGGGTTCACGGATATAGATAAAAGGGTTTACAGATATAGATAAAAGGGTTTACAGATATAGATAAAAGGGTTCATGTATATGGATAAAAGGGTTTACAGATATAGAGAAAAGGGTTTACAGATATAGATAAAAGGCTTTACAGATATAGATAAAAGGGTTTACAGATATAGAGAAAAGGGTTTACAGATATAGATAAAAGGTTTACAGATATAGATAAAAGGGTTCATGGATATAGATAAAAAGGTTTACAGATATAGATAAAAGGGTTTACAGTATAGACAAAAGGGTTCACGGATATAGATAAAAGGGTTTACAGATATAGATAAAAAGGTTTACAGATATAGATAAAAGGGTTTACAGTATAGACAAAAGGGTTCACGGATATAGATAAAAGGGTTCACGGATATAGATAAAAGGGTTCACGGATATAGATAAAAGGGTTCACTGATATAGATAAAAGGGTTTACAGATATAGATAAAAGGGTTCACGGATATAGATAAAAGGGTTCACGGATATAGATAAAAGGGTTTACAGATATAGATAAAAGGGTTCACAGATATAGATAAAAGGGTTAATAGATATATATGAAAGGGTTAACCAAAAAATATCCAGAACTTAGCGGTAGTAAGAGAAAGCTAGCATTGTCACGTCATAGATTATAAGCTAAGACAGGTGTGCTAAGGACTAAGGCTTAAGCTTGTATGTGTCTGTGAAAAACCTTTCTGTTAAAGACCATTACCTGTGTGTTTAGTAATCATCATAAACCCGGCATTGCCCACCCAAACCACAACCAACCAAAACCAAAACAACAAAACGCAAACATAACGCTAACACAATTACAAATACAAACGAAAACAAAAACCTAACAACAAACCCAACCACAACCACAAACACCAATACAAACACAAAGAAAAAACAAACAAAAAAGCAAACGAAAACAAAAACCTAACAACAAACCCAACCACAACCACAAACACCAATACCAACACAAAAAAACAACGAAAAAGCAAACGAAAACAAACCAAATCCAAACGCAAAACCAACCAAAAACACAAATACAAACCTAAAGAAAAAACACAAACAAAAACGAAAAAAAGAAAGAACAAAAACGAACCAAATCAAAACGCAACCACTAACGCAAACCCACCTAAACCCAAAAAAAAAACACTAACGCGAACATAAACGCCCGGGGCGGAATCACCTGTTTTAGCTTAATGAACGACTATAGTACCCCAACTTATTCATAGTCTTTTGCACTCACTTAAACGAACGCGCCTGTTTCAATTTAATGAACAATTATAATACTCCAAGCTTATCCGTAAAATACCTACAACATTTGCACTTGATCAATCCCCGCTAATTATGTAATTATTTTTTTTCCCAACACCAAAACAAAGTAATAAAAAGTAAATTCTTTTCCACTAATGCAATGGTTTTATAAAGGGAAGTAATTGTGTTTTCCTAATTTATCAAAGGGAAGTAAGTGCTATAGGACTAAATAAAGACATAATTAGAATTTTTGTAAAAGATTATATTTTTTAAAAACTTTTGTTTAATGAACATGCCGAAAATTATTATTATCAGTTTGAAAAATGAAAATTATTTCCCAACACTTTCAATAATAATTTTTTAACTCATAAATTTAGACAAATGCGCACGATAATAGTCTAACACTTTAATCCATTGAAGTACGTCAACGACAAATATATTTATTTTTACATACAGAATTGAGCTTTATATATCTACTAGCCGTCCCGGCCAGGCCCTGCTCTGGCTTCTGTGAAAAACCTTTCTGTTAAAGACCATCACCTGTGTGTTTAGTAATCATCATAAACCCGGCATTGCCCACCCAAACCACAACCAACCAAAACCAAAACAACAAAACGCAAACA